ACTCCTTGAACCTCTGATTGGGCCGAGTTGCCCATCCAGACTTTGTCACCGGAGGTCTCTTGAAATTCGTGAAACATGCTCCGGTTGGAGCAAATATGACGTGTGGCCCCTGTGTCCACAAACCATTCCCTCAGGTTTGACCCGACGAGATTCACCTCAGTGACGACTGCGTAGAGGTCCAGGTTGTCGAGCTCTGCACACATAGCTTTAGTGGTTTTCTTCTTATTTTTCTGTGGCTTCTTTTTCCTAGAGTCAGAGGAACGATGTCCGGTAATGCCACAATTGTAGCATTTCCCTGCAAATTTAGAAACACCACCCTTAGGACCCATTTTCTTCTTGTTCTTCCCGCCATGTGAAGAACCCGACGGATGTTCTACAACATTCGCCTTAGCCCCTCCACCTCTTCTGGCAAGCCCTTCCTCTCGGATCCTCAACCGCGTGAGCAGTTGCTCCAGATTCAGCTCCGTTCTTTTGAGCTTGAGGTCGGTTTGGAAGTCTTCCCACGACCGGGGAAGTTTGTGGATGATGGCCGCCACTTGGAAGGCCTCACTGACGCCTACTTTTTCTTCATTGCATTTGTTGAATATTACCGTAAGCTCCTCAGCCTGGGCGACAACAGATTTGCTGTCGACCATCTTGTAGTCCAACATCTTCCCGACGATGAACTTCTTCGTTCCGGCATCTTCAGCTTGATACTTCTTGTTCAAGCTATTCCAAAGCTCTTTTGCAAGCTTAGCACCGGCATAGACGGGGTACAATGTATCTCCCAGCCCTTCAAGAATAATATTGATGGCGAGATAGTTGTTGTGGTACCATGCTTGGTTCACCATCGCCACGAGGGGGTCGTTGCCTTCGTTGGGCTGGGGAGGATCTTGCTGCACGTACTCAGCAAATCCTAGGACGGTTAAGAAGAACGTCATCTTTTGTTGCCACATCTTGAAGTTCGTGCCATTGAACTTCGGTGGCCTTTGGACCGAACTAGTGGGCACCGAAATCGGCCCAACCGCATTGGGCGTGTGGAGGAAAGGCCCGTTGGTCGTCCAGTGAGGTCCAACGAATGGATTGACCGGTGCGGGGAAACCCGCGTTCGGTCCAAAGTTGACCGTCGAGGCCAGAGCCATAGTCGGTCCGAGAAACGGGTTCGAATTACCGACGGGGTAATCCCCCGTGGTTTCGAGCCCAGGGATGGGTCGAGGGGCTGACTCGAAGATCGAGCTCGGCATTGAGAATGTTGTCATGGTTGCGGCCCCCACACTTGACCCGAAGGGCAGTGGTGAGGATGGCACAACCATGGCAACCGAAGAGGTTTCCACCGGGATTTCGGAACTCATCCCGTTGCCGGAGGAACCCACGATGCCGAATCCGAACTCCATCAATACTACCTTAAGATTGTTGAGTAATACAGCGGGAATAAAAATAAAATAAAATAATCCGAACTTATAAGACGTTCGAATTTTACAATGAAAAATAAGAGAAAGAAAAATGGAGTCTTCGGAATCTCGAACACGAACGGACAAAACTGGAAACAGGAAGGAAAGCGGAGTCGCCGAAGCTTTCCTTATGGTAGTATTGCCCGCCTCCCGCACTGGCAAACGTGGGCAATCTCCTCCCAGGATAAAACCGCCCCGCCCCGCCCTGACGCGCGCGCGCGTGCCGAGCCGGACGGCGGCGGCGCGCGAGGAGTCCTCTTCTTGTTCCTTTCATAAGCTCAATTCAATGCCAAAGCTTAAGTATGAGAATACGAAAGGTTTAGAAACCGGTGTGGGACAAAGGCATTTGCTCTACCTTAGCATTCAACTTTGAGAATTAATTTCTCATTCACCCGAGCACCAATTGTGGCGTGTAATACGTCAAGACGTTCGTCTTACTTACGAGAATAAACGTTCATAATTATTTCGCAAAATAATTTTGTGGACCCTACCGAATTTATGTCCGAAAATTGTCCAATTTACTTAAAATTTCCAACATATATGTTATTTTATATTCCGTAATAAATATTGCATAAATTATTTGAAGTGTAGCCACTAAATAATTTTTTGAAAATTAACATTTTAATATTTTATACAAGTACTAGCTTTAAAATACTAAATTTTTTTTTGCAAAAGTAGCAATTGTTTTTTTCGTATAAATTAAGAGATTGCTTTTTTTAATTATCTTATAATCATTGTTAGGATAACAATTTTTATAATAATAATAATAATATCAACAAAAATTATAATAAGAATAATACTGTATACTCCATATATTTCAACTCTTTCAGGTTTCTTCAAGCTTTTTACAATTTTTCTAATTTCTTGCATTTTTGCTACTGCTTCTCGTTTCTTATAATTATTTCTAGTTTTTTCTAACTTTTTACAGTTTCTTCCAATAATGACTTTAAAATTTTATTCAAGTGTATTTTTAATACGAGTAATATTTATTTCAACATTTTTTATTTTCATTTTTGTTATTTCAAAAGTATAATTTTTTTTCTATATTTTTGATTATTTTTAATAATTTCTAACTCATTCTAGTTTTTTTTCCAATTCTTCCAGATGTATCCAATTTTTTGAGTTCCATTGAGTTCGTTGTAGTATTTTTAAATCTAAACTAGGTTTTTCTAGTTCATTTGAATTTTTCAAATTATTTCATGTTTATTCCAATATCTAATCGTTTTTTCTGATCCAAAGAAACTGGTTCTTGGGGCTTCTTTATTTAGGTTGGAAAAGTTAACTTTCAATTTTTTCTAACCCTTCCAATTTTTTTCAACTCTTTTGGTTTTTCCAACTTTTTTGAGTTTTTTCCTATAACAATTTTAAAAAAGTGTTTATATATGATAAATATACAATAACATTTTATTTATTATCAAATTTATAATATATTACCTCAAACATGAATAAGGAAAAATTCTTTTTTATCTAAAATTAGAGTTTTTTAAATGTTACGTTTATTTTGGTGATCATTTACTTAAGTGAGCTTTTAATACTTTAATTTTTCTAAGATTTTCTAATTTTTCAATTGTTTTCAACTCTTTCTATAGTTTTCAATTTTTTTTCTTTAAAATTTTAATGAAAAACAAGATGCCCTAAGAGCACTGTAAATACCAGGGATTCGAACCGAGACTTCAAACTTTCTATATCCCACATCAGCTTAAACCCCTCTTTAACTTAGACCATAGTTTCAGTGAGTATACTCGGCTTCAAATCTTTCTTTTTTATTTTTAATATACATTTAATAAAAGAAAATTAATAAGAGTTCATTAGTCAATTGATTTTAAACCGCAATAATTTATTAAATAAAAAATACATTCAATTAAAAAAGTACATTAAATTTAAAAAACAAAAAAATTAACTTAATAAAAAAAACACTCAAGACCAGACGGAGGAACAAATGGAGGATTCGTGATAAATTTGAAAAATAAGAGAAAGTTTAAGATTTTTTTCTCAACTTCGAATTTCTTGACGATTTCTTTGTTCTTTCTTCATTGATAGAGCAAAAAAATCTTTTAAAGAGTAAAGAAAAGTTCATTGGTTTTATTTATAGTGCAAAAAAAGGTTTTTTAATTTTCAACATTTTTGTTTGTTTAAAATGTTTATTTATCGCCACACTGCCACACATTATTGTCACATTGTAAATGTCACGCTATCATCGCCAAACTGCCATCCATTGGCGCCGGCCACCAGGGTACCGCCAACGTAGACTCTTACATCACATTGCTAGTACATTATACCATAGTTTTAAAAACCGGACCGGGAACCGGTGAACCGGACACTAAACCGGTCCGGTCCGGGCATTCAAACCGCCTTCGACTATGAACCGGTGGGAACTGGTTAAAACCGGAGAAAACCGGCCGATTTTACCGCCGGATCCGGTTTTTTCAAATCTTTTATGGAGAATCTTAAAAATTGCACGCCTGGGGGTTCAAACACAGGACTGCATGGGAGTAAGGAACCTCTCCAAGCCAATCTCTGCTATAATGCTTCGTAGGAACTTTCAACTATTCGTGTTTTATATTCTTTATTCAAATTTTTTATCAAATACTTTTTAAGTATATATAGTTTTTTTTTACTAAAATTCAAAACCCATTGAGGTAATTGATATGGAGTGCATATCACACAAATATTTTATATATATTTTTAAATACTAGATAAAATGTTTAAAAAAATTCAAATCACTTTTTATTTCTAAGATTTTTTAAATAAGTAAGTTTTATTTTTTATTTAATGAATCAACTCAAGTAAATTAAGTTAAATTATAAATTTAGTAAAACATCAATTCTTTATTTATAAATAGAGGAAATATTATTTTATTAATCATATATTAGTTTTTTTAATTCAATGCCACAATGTGTGTGTGTATATATATATATATATATATTTATTTATTTATTAAAAATGTTTGAACCACCGGTTCAACCACTCAAACCACTGGTTTGACCAGTAAACCAGTGAACCAGTGCCTTGACCGGTTCGATCACCGGTTCGGTTCTGAAAACTATTCATTATACTACTATTTTAGTCTTAAACTATTTTAGTCTTAAAAGATTTAAGATCCCTATTTTGGTATTTACATAATTTTTTACTCATATTCAGGGAGATTTCTTCCGTGTTTATTGCTATTGAGGCGTTAAAACATGGATAATGGGGAGAGCTTTAAGAGTATTTCCATCGCCCCAAGTGTCAAACTTATGTTGTTGTTGTCGCTGTAGCATTTTTTAAAATTAAATTTAATAATTAGTACTTTATAGTATAAGGGTTTCCATATTTGGTTCTCTATTACCAAATATTACTTTAGTAGTCGTTTTATGGATGCTTTCCACACGTGGTCCTTTTTTTTAGTCTTTTACTATGTTGGTGTTAATTTAAAGAATAAAAATACAATTTGACATCAACCTTATGTCCAATGACATATTCTGTTATTAGTTAAACGAAAAACACAAAAATTGGCTATGATTGTGAGCTAGGATTCCGACGAAGGACCGCATCTATAGATTATGGTTATAGTAGAAAGCGACTGTAATTCACAAGCGACGCATAAGGAACTGTCTTTGGAATTGTGTATGACAAAAAAGATATCTTATCATTGTAAAGTTACACTTTTAATCTTTAAATTAATATCAACATGATAGAAGATAAAAAATGACTATTTATGAAAAAATACTCATAAAAAAGTACTATTAGAGTAATATTTGATAATAAAAACTAAATAGGAAGAACCATGGAAATTTTTTATAAATTGGGTGAGTGCCAAAATTTAATTAGGGGACGAACTCCATAGGCATTATCTGGTTCATCCGCAGCTATCTGTCTCGACCAGTGAAGGGGAAGAAGAGCAAGAAATATGGACGATTATACCAGAGAAATGATGGACCTCAAAACCCTCGTTACTCGAACCCTAGAAAAGAAAGGCGTCCTAGCTAAGATCCGGGTATACATTTCTCACGTCCTCTATATGTAACACTGCTTAGTATGGAAATGTTTTGTCGATCTGATTCGCTCATTTATGAATAATGGGTATATATTCCATTGAAATTTTCCCAAAAGAGGCGCTGTCTAATTGGGGCTCAGCTGTAGGTACATGAAAGTTTCAATTGTTTTATAAAGAAATTAGGGTTCTTTTCCCCCAACTTAATTATAGGAAGCATTTTCTCTTAAATTAAAAGTGGGTTTTTTTTGTGTGTTTAAGGGAGTGGATGGTGGTGGAGTTTTGATTCATTTAGCTGGAACGTGAAATCATAGACACACTGTTTAATTAGAGGCTAGTTTTTACTCTCTATCTCTTTCTTTACTGCTGTTATGTTTTTCAATTTGGAGCATGAAATTGAAAGAAAAGCATGTCATCTAGTGCTCTCATGCCAACTTGTTTTGAAGTTTCATAAAGCTCAGTTTTTTTACACTATAACCAGATAGATGGTCCACCCGTGTTGGTTTTACAATTTATGCTTGATTATTCTAGCTTGAGTGCTCAAAATTGAAGTAAACATTTGTGGACAAAAATCTATACTACGGGGAAACAAAACTGAGAATGCTTAACTGGTATAGCCATTTATTCATGTTTACTGTGACATTGTGACAATTCTGAAGTTCTTATCCCACTAAGCTAAAAATGAATGCCCTTTTTTTGTCTTTGTCGTATATTTTACTCTTTCTAATATGTGAACGCTGTGCAACAATGTTTTTTTTTGTTTTCCGGGTATCCTTTTTAGGCTGAGCTCAGAGCAAGTGTGTTTGAGGCTATCGAGGAGGAGGATAGAGTGATTGAAAAGGAAGAGGGATTGCCTCCTGCTCTATTGGGTAGTTGCAATGATCGTGCTAAGCAACTTCACAATTCACCTTCAGGTTAATATAATTGATTGATTGTAATATTTTATTCATCTTGTTCTTGCGAAATCTCTTCAGGTCAAACACTTAGTCACAAACACTGAGTACAGCTTACAAACTTCTAGCTGTGACCTTATTATTATTTAAAAAGAGCAGAAAACAGATACAGACAGTTCATATGGTCTATCCATTATATATTAGATTTATGAACTTTCTTTTACCTTTCTTATTTTTCTTCTGATCATTGCTGGTCTTTGCCTTTTAGGATTCAAAAAATGAACCAATTTTAGTAGTATCAATTAACCATCTAGAATTAGGTAACACCATATTCATTCAATAAATTGTTAAAGTTTTATGCTGCATACTTCTAATGCTGAAATCTTTTACGGAAGGAATGTATAAATTAAATTTTAAAAACAATTGCGGGTACTTTATGTCTGTTTTAGAGTTTTAGTGGTGAGCATTCAGTAGACAGAGATCCTGTTTGGCGATGAGTTGTTAAATGTTTGCCTTAGCTGTTTGGTTAGATGTTTGTGTTAGCTCTTAAGGAACAAAGACCAGTTGGGGGTCTTATGTACTCCCTCCGTCTCGCAATATTCTTCCAGCATTCCTTTTTTGGCCAACAGTATTCATCCACTTTCCTTTTATGGTAACAAAATGAGCATTAAATGTCCATTTTTCCCTTTGGCTGTCCATTTTCCTCCATAGATTATCATTGCCCAAATTATCATCACCGAAATCAGATTATCATCGCCCAACTTTCCCAGGTTTATTCCCTTGCTCTAACTTCCCAGATTATCATTGCCCAAATCAGAACCCTGCAAATTGAAGTTTGCTTCAATTTCTTTGGATCATCAATCTCAGCTCTGATATCTTAAGTCATAGAGAAAAGGAGAGCAATTTGAAGATTCTTTAGTTCTGCAGTGGCCGTTGCAGTGGGAATGGTGGAGATTTAATTTCATCTTTCAACCATATCTACTTCATCCGCTTCCTCTGGATATCGAATTTGATTCATCTTCTTCCATCTTTCAAAAACCAGATCTAAGATAGATGGGAGTTTGGATGTCATCTACTATTTTCATCTCTCTTTTTTTTGACGTTAAACTAAAGAGCGGTGGAGGGTGTTAGATCTAAGATAGATTGGAGTATGAATTTTTTAATTTTTGCTCTCATCTATTGGGTTTTTTAAGAGACTGATGGTGGAGGACGATATTTGGTTAAGCAGTGGCAAGTTGGGTGGCAACTCGATGGTGGATGGAGTTCGATGGGTTGTGCGGCAGCGACGGAGGAGCTCCAGGCCAATGGATGGTAGAGCAGTGGAGTTGTCCCGCAGAGGGCGGTGGATGATGGAGATGGGTTGTACGGAAGTGGCGGGTGGGTGGATGGCGGAGGATGTCGGGTGGGTGGTGCGGTAGTGGGCTGGAGAGCGAATGGTAGGAGGAAGCAAGGGTTTCTGTTTTTCCAAGGGTAATTAAGTCATTTTACCTATTACCTTGGTTTTTGGTCCATAACGAAAGTAGACGAATACTGCAGGACAGAGGAAGTTAAAAATTTTAGACCGAAAAGGCTATCTCCAAAAGGCTTGAAAACACGCGTCTTGTAAATTACAGAGTAGTTTTTATGGGACAGAAAACCTATCCCAAAAAGTTGTTTTTCGTACACTTGTAATACGGAGTAATTGCTTGACCACAGAAAAGCATCTCATCTACCTCAAAATGATTTTTTTATTTACAAAAACTTCTCCAATAATCTAGTTGTCAAACACCCTTAAAGAGGGAGTCCACTAATTCTGTTCGTAAAGTAAGTTTCTTTGTTAAATGTGTTGAAATATTAGGATAAAGGATAATGATCATTTTACAACTCATTCCCAGTTTCCCACACACACAACTATCCCAACACCTTCTGTCCACCTTCATACTCGCTTTACAACACCTTGATGACACCTTTCTAAGATCACATTTACTAGTGTGTTGTTTTCATTATACTAGTTTCTATTGTTGTGTTTCCACAATCTTGTGGGTGACAGTCTACTAACGCCACTCGCTAGCCCTGTATTCTAAAGAATTTCAAAAATGGTTAGTTAAATTGTAGTTGCATTTAAAAGCTTTAACTTTGAAGGCTTAAGGTAGTTGGGTAGCCGTGTTGGGCCTTGGTGATAGTTTTGCTCTTGTTATGTGCCTTCTTTGCTTGGTATTTTTGTCTCCTTGCACCCTTCGTTTGCCCTTTGCTTATGTGTTCATTCTCTGTGCCTATGTGATGCTCGACTGGGGGTCTCTTGGAAATAGCCTCTCTAATTTGGAGTAGGGGTAAGGTGTACGTATACACTCCCTCCCCAGACCCTACATTTGTGGGATCCTACTGGGTTGTTGTTATTAATAATGCCTCGCCTCACATTCACTTAGTGTTGGCCTTCAACTGCCTTTTTAAATCTTTATATATATATATATATATATATATATATATATATATATATATATATATATATATATGTTTATGCGATGCATAATGGACTATTATGTCCTTTCGTTCAACAGCCAGTCAGCTTCTCCTCCCAAAATAACATTATTTGTAATCTCTCAAATGATTTTTTTTAGGATGGGGTGTTTTCATCAATTTTAAGAAATATCCTCACTATAAAGCTGAGATAAATGGACTTTGATGAGGGTCAAATATTGTTGGAATAACTGGATGTCCTAAATGAACTATATAGCTTTTACCAAGTTAACACAAAAAAACCAAATAAGGAGTTATAACTAAAAGATGTGGTAGAGGTGTCATTTCTCCCTATCTCCCATTTAAGTAAAAACAAACTTTTGCACTTTTTTTTAAACATTGGGCTACTCATTCATCCAAGACTAGCATTTGGTTGAGATATAATTAAGGATGGGATAAGGGTCACTAATCTGGGTCATAAGACACTTGGGTTGAACCACATTAAAAGATTGAATTCAATCGATTACTTAGTTCAATTCAAGAGCTTATATACTCATTATTTTCTTCTTAATTTTACGGTGTGGGATAGCCTTCTAACACTCTCCCTCAAGTGGACTAACGGGCATTTTTTAATCTAACCGAATGACCACTTGCAAAGGGATTTCCATCCCTATGATTTTTTGAGTGCTGACACCTAAAGGATCATTAGGGGTGTAAACGGATAATATCCGTTACGGATATGACATATCCGAATCCGTATCCGTTTAAGTTTAGGAATATCCGTATCCGTATTCGGCGGATATTTACTATACTATATCCGAATCCGTATCCGTATCCGACATATAATTATCAATTTCGGATATATCCGAATCCGATTAGATATCCGAAAGTAACCGAATATCCGAATCCGATTAGATATCCGAAAGTAGCCGAATTTGAAAATATCTGAGTCCATTAGAAAATCCAATTAGATATCCAAATGTATTTATAAATAAATTAAACACAGTCCAAAACTGTAATTGAAGTCCATAATACATTAATACCAAAAAAAAACTTTAGGATACAAAAAAACAATAGTCAATATTTTACCAAATATCTAATAATACGAACAAAAATATAAATTTCTAATCGATAAAGTACAAATCGTATTTAATACATCTCAAAATTCTCTCAAGAAGATAATCTTTGATGCATCCAAAATTGCAAGCTATTTCACTTGCTTCATACTTCAAAACCCACAATATACCAAACCTGTTAACATGTTTTGAAGTAGGTTTTTCCCTTTTTTTCTTAAAAATTTCTTTGTGGGCTTTTTCTTTTTTTACATAATGGGGTAACATATTGGGAATTAACAAATAAATTAGTAATGGTAAACTATGTAAATACTTGATACTAGGATTATATTTATTCAAAAAATTATTCGGTATTCGGATAAACGGATATTGATAAACGGTTATTTAAACTGATGTATATTCGGATCGGATTTTAAACGGATCGGATATACAATTACCATATCCGTATCCGTTTAGTAATCGGTACCTTTAATCGGATACGGATAATATCCGTTTAAAACGGATACGGATATTCTTTCTTTAAACGGATACGGATGCGGACGGTAAACGGATTTTCGGCTATCCGTTGACAGCCCTAAGGATCATGAACCACTGGGTATGGACTTCCAGACGAGGAATCGGGTTAAAAAGGCTACAAGCTGTTGGGTATGCATTCCACACATACAATTGGGCTAAAGACTAGGACCTTTAAGAATGAACGTCTAGACGTGACAACTTGATCAACAGGTGGACCAAAACCTTTTCCAATACCGTGATAGAATTTTGGATGAGGTAAGTGTCACTAGACTTACCATAAGACACTGGGGGTCTTGGGTTGAACCACATTAAAAGATATCCAATTGATTACTTAGTTTAACTCAAGAGCTTATATACCCATCATTTCTTTTCAATTTTCCGATGTGGGATAGCCTCCTAACATGTTGAATATTTGCTTCATGTCCATTTGAATAACAAGCTGTGATAAGCTCATAAGCCTGATTATTTTTGCTACCAAGCATGCACTTGTTTTCTGTACTTTGTAATGCCCCATTGGTACTTAGAGTGTGTTCTCTTCTACTTATTCTTATTTGCATCAGATCTGGCTAGGCTAGATTAGACCAAACCAGAAACAACTTTAAATATAACTAGAATCAAATCAGATTTTAATAAAACCATATCATATCAAGAGAACATGCTCTCAAGCCTTTTATAACAGTTACTTCTCCATGCTCTAATGTTCACATCAAATAGTTAGGAGAAAATAATGTGTTTGTGTGTGTTGCTAATCGCCTTCTAAATGTTTCTTGATTTATCACCATTTAACTATTGTAGGGAGGCTACTAACTGCACTCATATGTGAATATTTGGACTGGGCACAGCTAAACCATACATCAAAAGTTTACTTGCCCGAGTGTAATTTGGTAATCATGCATTGGGTTCCCTTCTGGTATCAATTTTTCCTTATCAAAATAATTCAGTCACTTTGATCGATTTCTAATACTCTTTGTTTTTTCTTTTGCTTTTGCTTTTGTTTTTGGGGCATGCTACGCTGCAGCCAAAGGATTTCTGGAAATCTGAGTTAAAAGAATTCAGTAATAAGAACGGGTATGATGCTAATCGGAATGGAGACAGCGGTCCTCTGCTTTTGGATGTCCTTGAAGGATTCTTGAAGTATGAGGTGTGAGATAATCTTTGCTAAATGATCATAATGTTCATTCATTTACTTGTTTCCATGTTTTCTTTCAGCATTATGATATGCCTATAGTTGGTTTTAATTATTTCTTGGCCAAGTAGAGCTGTAGAGGATTGCTATTTTTTCTATGTCTTAATTTCTTTGTTTCAGCATGGTTTCAATTATTCTGTCTATTTCATTTGTATTAATGTTAACCAGGAAGTAATGCAGATTCTGAAACTAGGTATGGGTTGGCAGTTTAGCATTGCAAACAAAAAATTTAAGGAATGAGGTTAAATAAATAAAAATTAAATTGGCATGTCCCATAACACATAGAGAATACCAAAATAATAGCTCCATGTTTTTATTCCCAAAATAGGAGCTACAATGCCAATATATTCAACATATAATACCAAAAAATGCTATGGAATGCCAATATATAGTACAACATTGTCACAGTACAAACTTCTATTTTGGGGATAAAAACATGGAGCTCATGTTTTGGGGATAAGGGGCTATATTTTACTTCTATTTTGGACGGTTTCTTAGAAAAGAAAAGTGGACAACTGAATTTGGACAGAGGGAGCAAATAGAATACTTAAGCAATATGATGCTTTCTTTCATTGGATCCCGATTGCGCATCAAATATCTAATTTTTATTATTGCAGAATTTATCTCAAGCAAGGAGTGGTGGAAGGAGACTACCCACACTAGATGGCGAAGCATTGCCCAGTTTAGAAACACGGAATGTTAGGAGGCCTTCATCTATTGCCGGGGGCCTACCTCCATTGGGAAGGTTTATTATTATTATTATTATTAACAGAACCCCATTTCTCCCTTTAATCCGGTTTCAGTTTTCAGATATGTGACTTTTTGAGTTATTTAAATATTTGCAGGCCAGTTCCTTCTTCTCAAGCATCTGGTAAGCAGCTTGTTACCCTTTACTGTTTGTCCGCGGATTTCATGTTTTGAAAATGACTTTGCTTGTGTGATTAGTTGGGGGGTTGTTTGTAGACAGGAGAGCAGGGTCATCATCAATGTCGGGTTACAGCAGGAAAGATGAATACAATTGGAGATATGATAGTGATGAGGATACAGAAGACGTCATGCGTGCATCAGCTGCCTTAGAAAACCTTCAACTAGATAGAAAAGCTCGGAATCTCACCAGTTCTTGGCGGTTCGTTCAAACCCTCTTATAAATTACATTTTTCTTTTGAGAATGTGCATCACCAGTAATTAATAAGTGCTATATATACTACTCCCTCCGTCCGAGAGTGTTTGTTCATTTTTGACTTTTTGCAGTCAACTAAGATCGACATTTGACATATAATCAAATACAAATTACATGATATATTAATTAGATAATACAATATTTTGAAAATATTTAACAAGATAAATCTAATGAGATTATTCTTGTATCAATATCTAATACTACGTATAAATTTTATTTAATTAATAATCAAAGTTTATCAATTTTGATTGCAAAAAGTCAGGCAAATACTCTGAGACGTTGATAGTAATTACTAAACCCAAACAACAACACCCAAACCCAGTAAACCTTACCCCTACATGGGAGTAGAGGGACTCAAGGCCTGTCCCGAGGAATCAAGTGCTCAGGACGAGACGAAAAAAAGGGTCCTCAAGCCCTAACAAATTCAAAATTTCGGGCTCTTGAAAGTAGGCCCAGGCCAGAGGAGGCTTTACTTGGCCCTTGGCCGGCCCTAGAGAGATTGTTTCCAAAAGACAACCCCCTCATTCACCATCATCATCATCATCATCGTCACCTTCTTACATGGAATTGATCATGAAATAATATTTTATCGGAAAACATAATGACTTTATTAACGGGATATGGTCGCAGGCATGCGGGGAATGGTGTTTCGGAGTCTGATGGCAGGATGGATTAGAAGAGAAGCCCCCCTCCCAGCTAAAACGGCTTTCATATCGCAGTCTTTCCTCGATTCCTCATTATACTAATTATTATGAATGTGTGTGTGTTCCTGTGATGTGTGATTAGATTATGCTGTCTGTGAATGTGTATGAATTATTGTTTTATTTTTTTTGGCTGGCGTGATTCTTTATATGTACTTTTGAGTTCCACTATTTTCCTTGCCTTTCTTGTGTGCAATGTGCAAAAAGTGTTGCTCTCCCTTCTTTCACATAACCTTAACTTTTCACATTACCCTCCTTTGACTAATTTCCGTCTCAATTATACTTCCTCTTGAATTTTTCTTTTTCTATTTAAAGTCCAATTTACATTCTTTCAGTGACCGGGTCTAAGGGGCTCTTAGGAAGCTGTAGCATTATGTGTTTTGGTCTGATGTAGAAAAAGAAAAAAAATAATGTAGTGGGCGAGAGATCGGCCCATTGTAAATCCCCAAAGCCCAAAACCTCAAACCTTTAAGAGTAAACATTTTTATCTATTAGGATGATGCCATGCTTGAGTATATCAAATGATGTACTTTATTTGTACATCAAGGTTTTTACAAGAACATGCATATATTAAATGTCGGCGCGTGCACATAATTTGTTTCATGTTATCGTATTGTTTGGCTCTACTAAGATATTTTAATTCAATACTTATCGTTTCCAAGATTTCATATGGTATCTTGTCTCTAACTTACAAGGGCAAAATAGAATAATCCAAACTTCTTATGTTTTTTCCTGATCTGAAAACTATTGATTAAGTGAGGCAGGCTTGTGGTCCAAACTGTTTGAATATAATGGGATATGATACGATATACTACCTCCATCCCTGTGTGTGTGTGTGTGTGTGTGGGTGTGTGTGTGTGTGTGTATATATAAAACTCACCAAACGAGCCTTTAGTGTTTATTTTGAAGTTTGTTCAGCATAGTATTAATCAAGTCTGAAACATCATGCTTATTCTCAAACACTGCATTGCTCGTCCTAAAACAATGTACTTCTCCCGTCCGAAAATGATCTTTCCATTTAACTTTTCATTATCAAAATTTGTAAACTTTAACTATGATATATGGACAAATATATTCTATTATGATATAAATTTAATATCAATATATTTATATTAAACGTGGTTTGAAATATTATTTTTTTATAAAATATATGTATTTATAAATATAGATATTAATGCTTAAAATGCAATATTGGAAACGGTAAAAAATTTAATGAATAGAATATTTTTGAACAAAGGAAATAAAAATTAAATGAAGAGAATATTTCAGAACAAAGAAAATAATATACTAATGGTTAATGTTATTTGTACCCCAATAATTTGTACCCCATTTTATAAGCTGCAAGAATACACCAATATTTTGTGTTGGTGTAATGCTAATTTTTGTGAACGCACCAACACTTTGTGCCAGTGTGAACCATCAAAATGTAAATGCATACATTTAGTGTACAAATGAGATACAAATTTTGGAGTATATGTAGCATGCTCCTATACTAATAGGGCTTTGCTACACTTACACCAAAAAATGTACCCCATTTGTACACCGCAGTTATACACAAACATTTTGATGGTTTATACCGACACAACTGTTGGTGCGTTAACAAAAATTTACGCGGACACAAAGTATTGATGCGTTAACAAAAATTAGTTTTAGAGCTGGTGCAACCCGCAGTCTTTCTTTAACAATAAGTATTTTGAGAACTTGTGGTAGTTAGTTTTCAATAGGGTAGATTGCCCGCTAGAAAGACTTGGTCGGTTGAAAGTTGTTCCGTCACTTCCGTGTTGTTCCTTTGCTCGCGCAGTTTCTCAAGCATGGCGGTTCTGAGCAGATCGGTGGCGCCGTTCCGACGGAGCTGCTGCGTGGGTTCGATCCGCCGATTTTGTTCAGGCGCAGACTCGAAACTGGCAGCGGCTCTCCGGACCGGGAAGCCCGTCGAGGGAAGGAATGTCCAGTGGGTGTTTCTCGGCTGCCCCGGCGTCGGAAAAGGCACCTATGCCGCTCGCCTCTCGAATCTTCTCGGCGTTCCTCATATCTCCACCGGAGATCTCGTCCGTCAGGAACTCTCCACCCCTGGCCCTCTCTCCTCCCAGGTCAAGCTTACCCACTCCCTGATTTCAACCGCTCAATTACTAGTTCCTTCCTGTTCATTTTCCAAATTACTTAAGTTAAAATAACAAGAGTCCTTTCAATTAGTTTGTCTTTCATCCATGGAAACAATTCCAATATGGCATGCTTTTTAGGTGATATTTTTTATAATCAGATTGTTTACTAAAATATTGTAAGTGGACGTTTGATTCCGGACTTTCCTAAAAGGGGAAGTGTGAAACTAAATCCGGATGGAGGGATAGTATACTTATTCAACATTTAAATACGGAGTAACAATTTAAATTTCAAAATCCATCATCTGAAGCGAACAATCATAAGTTTGAACTAGAAAGTAGCTTATAAAGTTTGGGTATTGAGATGGTTAAAAGTCCTATTTTTATTTTGTCAATGGACATTATTGTTTAGGATCATTTTTTAAAATTTGAGGCTCTACATTATGTTTGCACATATCGGTTAGGCTCTTCTGCTATAACTCATTTTCTTTTGGATTAATTTTCTGTTTTGCAGCTAGCAGAGATTGTTAAGCAAGGGAAACTAATTACTGATGAAATCATAATAGATTTACTATCAAAGAGACTTGAGGCTGGTGAATCTAAGGGTGAAACAGGTTTCATTCTTGATGGATTTCCTCGAACTATAAGACAGGCGGTGAGCAGTATTTTTTCAGTAATTGCTTAAATACTAGGTTATTTTTTCAGCAATGTCTTTTTGTGCAACATCTAGCTTGAGTTTTTAAGTTGTACAAATACATATGTACTCTATAGTATTTAAGCCAAACCGCACATACCCAGATTGGCAGATTATTCCACTCGGAAGTAGGGTTGGGGAGGGGGGGGGATGATGTACTGTGTGCAGACCTTACCTCTATCTCAAGGGGTAGAGTAGTAAAACCTAATGTAAACACACTTATGTAGTATCTCTCTTGTTAAATTGTGTATGACACTATTTAGTCTGATTAGGGACTCTCAATTGCACAACAATAAATTTTACTAGACTCACTTTTAGTTACTCCAAGTATTTGTGGAGAAAAGCACACATGTGCACGCTTATGTATGTGTGTGGTGTGTGTATGTGTGTGTGTGCAGTGTGCACACATGTATTATTATTATTATTGAAACTTTGAAGAATCTTTTTATAGCTAATTCTTTTGAAACTAGCAAAGTTTGAATTTTGTAGTAGTATAACATATTGTACACGGATGTTTCTACAGATTGCACAATTGTTGTAAAACTAAGGTAACATATCTGCACTGATGAAACATAATGTAAAAAAGATCAGAGTGTTCTCTTTTCCTGACTTTTTTTTATTTGTCTGTCATACATTGTATTTTGTCTCATTTTAGTTCTTGGGGACACTTGTTATCTCTGATTCCAACGATAAGTACACATTTATATGAAAGCAGTTAGGATCATGAATAATTGTTCTCAGTGGTCAAACCATGGGAGGCAACAACGGCAGTACACTAACACTGATATTTTTTTTAATCTCACAGAAATGACAGTCAATTTCTAACATCCGTTATGCATTTCATTCCTGTTTATTTCATAACCTGCCTTTGTCTTTATCCATTGCTCACCCCCTTCCGGCTTTCGTTGTTCTTTCAAAGAAACTTCTAGTCAAAAGTTTTAATCTTGCGTCTGATTGAATCTGATGTTCCAATTTAATCTCTAACACAAGTGCTACGTAATACATTCTTGCACAATGCATCTTAAATCTTTTGCATCTGTACACTCACTGTCTGTGCTGCAATTGAACCCCTTTTCTGGAGGCTCCAAGATGTTGACACCTGTCATCATATTGTACGTCCAACTCCAAGCCGATCATTAGCACATATGTAAGTGGTCCATTGCTGCTTACCTGCTTTCCTCCGTGTATTTCTATGTGCTCTACTAAATTTATGTGGCTGGTTTTATTTTTCCTTTTTCCCCTAGCCCGTCATCGATATATTCTCTGCCTGTTAAAAGAAATTAATGATCTCTTTTTTACTTTTTTAAAAAAAAGGAAATTTTAGAGGGTGTAACAGACATTGACTTGGTTATCAATCTGAAGCTTCGGGAAGAGGCATTAATTGCCAAATGTCTTGGGAGAAGGATGTGCAGCGAGTGTGGAGGGAATTACAATGTTGCGTGCATTGATATCAAGGGCAAACATGGAAGCCCCGGAATGTACATGCCTCCTCTTCTTCCCCCTCCACATTGTGAATCAAAACTGATTATGCGAGCTGATGACTCTGAAGATGTTGTGAAGGAGCGCCTTCGCATCTACAATGAATTGGTATTACTTGCCTTTATACTAATACTTTTTTTTGAGCACTAATAACTCTATTACGATGCACTATTCGTACATTCTCAATCTATTAAGCACATAAACTTATTGTCTCCACTGGGATTCGAACATATGATCTTCCATGAGAGGGTCACCATGATGCCGTTTGACCTTAGCATCAATAGCAACATTTCAATACAATGGAGTATATAATACTCCGTATATTGTATACGGATTATATAAAAAACAACACAATGGAGTGTATAATGGGAAAGGCGCAATAATATTTTACAAAACACTGCTTATTTCCATGGTGGATTTATCCGTTCATCAGAAATGCCAAAAATTTCTTGATTGAAATAAAAATGCACATCTTTGTGCTGCATTTGTTCCGTCAAATTTTTCACAACTTTCTTTGTTATATTTTGGGTCCTGCAGAGCCTACCAGTTGAGGAGTTTTACCGAAGTCGAGGGAAATTGTTGGAGTTTGATCTTCCTGGGGGGATACCGGAGTCGTGGCCAAAGCTGCTACAAGCCTTAAGTCTTGTTGATCATGAAGACGATAAGAAGTCTGCAGCAGCTTAAGTTCTGCCCTTGTGTGTAAACATTATATTTACATATTTTGTCTATCTCAGAATCATTCTTTGCATTTTCCATGGACGTGAAGCAATATAAATCCATTTAATTTCCTTTTGAATGAACTTTTTAAATGGAAGTAATAAAATACTAATTGATTACAACAATGACATAATTTAGAATTTATATCACAAAGTAAATATCTTTAACTTAATTCAATCACGAATCGTCGGAGTCTTTAGGCGTCGTATGTCGTCCCTACACGGGTTTTGGTTTTGTCACCTATGCATTGTTTAGAAAAATGATTAGATGCTCAAAATTTGTGCTTTTGCATTTACAAAATTCTATTTTGTGGCTTTTGTATTTTTTGAAATGCATTTAAGATTCACATTAGTGACTATTACATTTTTTTATGGCATTCATGGATTTACAAAGTATTCACCACCTTCCATTCTTCTATGTTCAAAATTATGTTAGTTGGAAAATGCGAATGAAATATGCTTTTCAACGCGTTGATTATAATATTTGGATGAATATGCTTGATGTGCCTTTTATGGTGCGTAGCATTGTAGGTACAACAACCATCCCAAAAGTAACAAATGAGCTCATGAGGGAATATATGAAAAAAAAGTGTAAATTTTCCAACTAGATGGAGAGAAAATATTTTGAAGCACCCAATTATGGCATGGTGAAAAGTTAATGGGCATTGTGCATTGACGAGGGATGTCAAGGGAGTAAGATCAAAGTTTGATTTTTGACAACTATTCTGAGAGATGATTATGTTAGGCATAAAATCTCTTTAAATATAGTTTTATGCTCAATAATATATTGGTACCAATATATTATTAAAGCTCAAATTTCTTTTTCTCAGGTGATCATCCAACCGGTTCTGAAACGCCCTGAGGGTGAGGTTGTAAAAGTGGCATTGAGTTATAAAAGAGACTAGTTTTGTTCCACTTTTGCATACCCCTATCAAGAATGCATAATGCATACTACTGTTTAAAATAAAGTTTTTACTGCATTCTATAATGTTAGACTGAACTCATTTTTATATTTGATTTATTTTAAAATTGAGGTGGCATTTAAAAAAATAAAATTTAAACATCTAGGGATTATGTAAAAAGTTTTACACAACAAGAGATGAGATGTTTGTATAATTTTATTAAATGAATATAACAAAAATAAATAAAGAGTGTGAACAAGAGTTGATTCTATGAATATTAAATGAAATTTTTATTTTAGGATGTGATGGTGTAAATTATCGACAGGTATATCGTTTTAGCCCGGCAAAAACGATAAACTAGTCTAAAAAATAAACCAAAATATAAACACGGGGATTTTGACGTGGAAACCCAAATCGGGAGAAAACCACGGGCCTTTTTTGGCGGTACCTTGCCAACGGGGGATTTTTATTAATATCGGGGGTGTGTACACGGTACATGATTTAGGCTTAGAAGCCATTAATGGTGGAGCTAGAAGCTCTTGAAGAAGAAAAAAAAACACTCTAAAAACTTATATAGAAAGGGAGATAAAGATGTGCAGGAGATGAGTGAGTGAATGGCCTCCCTTCACATTGAGTGGGAGCCCTCCTTTTATAGGAGTAGCTGGAGCATCTACGGAGGAATATTCTATTATTCCTCCACTTTATTAAACAGACCCGGTTTGACTGTCCTTCGTAAATAATTGGGAAATGTGGGCCGAGCCACGTATTATTTCCCATCAAGAAGTCCTCCACTTTTTTAAGTTGTGAGAATCATCAACTTAAAAAAGTAAACAAGTCCTCCGAGTGATATCTTCAGTCTTCGTACTTTGGATTCTTGGCCGGTTGATATTATTGCTAGTCCTCCGAGTCTTCATTAATTCTTTAATTTCTTGAATCAGAAGTTTTTCCTGCAAAAAATAATATGTACAACATTTTTTCTTGACCGGCCTATGTCGTGCTCAAATAATTATTATCTTTACCGAGGAGCTCGGTCTTAGGGTGATTAAACTTCGTGCGAATTATTTTCGTAATGAGAGCGATGTCAGTTCGATAAAGCAACGATGCTTCGAAAAGTTATTTCGTCGTGGTCGGTGTTAATACGAGTCAAACACACGATGCGTGACGAAATTAGTATACTGACGCCAACGACCTTAGTTAATAAGGATTGAATCTGATGCGGTAGCTTTGTTGAAGATCAGTGTTAGCCCGGCTGACTGATGCAAATATCTTCATATCTCACGGAGATCATCTTCGATCCGAGTGCCTCAGATTGAGGGCTTAAATGAATCGGGCGTCCCCGATATGAGCTTTGCACACTTTTTTGCTGAAACCGATGTGCAATCGGTGTACCCAATTCGATTGGGCTCAGGCTTATTGGAAAATATGTTTAAGACTGGTGTGAGACCAGTGTACCAGTTCGGCTGGGTCACATATTTTCTTTATTATACTGAGCAATACCGGTGTAGTAACTAGCGTGCCAGGCCAGGCCTGCATCTCAGTCTTCCAATAAGATAATGTTGCTGGCCGGGCCAGATCAACATTGGAGAATTAACCATGTCGGATGGTTTCGAGCCCTCTCCAAGGCCCAAAATGCACCCTTCTTCCAGGGCCCCCTCTTCCGGGTGATTAAGTCTTTTAATGGCCCTTTGATATCTACCATCCCGGGAAGGCCTTAGCTCACCCCCCGTTCAAGTCTTCCCTGAGAAGGGGGAAATAGGATGCGCCACGGTGGACGACCCTCTTCTATTTCTTTTAATGGGCATCTTTTAGTCCCCAATCAGTTTGCCAGTATCGGCTGATTCCCCGATACCGGTCAAACCTCATGGGCCCGTGTAAGTACGGTTCGAACCTTCTTCCAGGTCCAGCCCTCTTGCAGGCATACCCTCTTCCGGGCCCCTCTTCCGGGTTTATTATTTTTTATTTTATACTGAGCAAGACCGGTGTAGTAACCAGCGTGCCAGGTCCGGGCCTGTGTCCCAGTCTTCCTTTGATCAATCTCCAACTCACTATCACCTCGGTCCGATCAAGCAATAACCATGAGCTTGAGGACAAAAACATCTTTATTGAGTGACCCATCTTCTCAAAAAGAATTGTCGAAGTCCCATGTTTAACAGTGCACCTACCGAGCTCAATTTCTACGTCACTAATTTTTGACTCCAGCCATAATCCCATGTGATTGTGCATATCTTCTGTATTTGCTTGAATAGTTGTCACCCCTTTGTTTTTGTTAGAATAATCTAATTGAGATGACCACTGGTACGGCACTTGGAGTCTTATGCGTGGCTCTTTCTTTTAACTTGCAATCCTTATCCCAAAATAAGTTATTGATAGTGGGGGACAATCAGCTCCATTTTTTCTCTGCATGGCCCACCAACATGTGCCTTCCCTGTAGTGTATTTTGTGAGTGGAGTAAGTAGACCCACATCATCGGCATAGCAGTCCTCCATGTGCTGGACTGTCCATTTTTTGACTTCTTGTTTTGAGACTTATTTCATATTGAAATCATGTTGGTTGGTGCAGGCTGCTTGGAAAGATCCCAACAGAAAAATAAGTTATTTTTGAAGCACCATGGTTTGATCGTCCTTCCAGATCCGACCCAAAAACGATGCTGCTCGGCAGGCATGTATTGAGAACTTGGAGTCGTTGGAGCACCTGATGTCGATAGTCATAGCTCCGCCACTATCGGAACTAGGGGCAGCGGTCAAGCTATCATCGTTTTTCGGATTGTCCCCGTCACTTTTCACCGCAACATAAGTGTCGCCTCAGCCACTCACACTCTTGGACTCCACCAAGGTGTGCCTTTAGCAACAATTTCAGCCAATCGAGGATGAGAAATGACGCCCATCCGCTGCTCTACATCCAGCGCACCATGGTTCTGATCCGGAGCTGGCGCTAATGACTTCCCCTAAGGTGATGAATCTCTTCCGACCGCAAAGCTGGTGGACTCCCATCACGGATTCCGGTAGATTTTTAAGAACGATGGCTACGGATATTAGCCCGTAGTAGAGTGGCGGGGATGACGACAGATCTTTGTAGCAGCGTCAGTGATTTACTTCGTCGGCGGCGATGATTGGCTTCTATCGGGGTTTGATTTTTTCCGGCATGGTGGCCCACGGCTTTGGCCGCGGCGGGACCAAAAAACAGCCATCTGGCGACGAATGCGCACAAGTGTCGGCAGTGGCGGGGATGACAACAAATCTTTGTAGCGGCGTCGGCGGGTCTGAGCATCGGCGTCGGCGGGTCTGAGCATCGGCGGCGGCGGCAGGTTTGAGCATCAGCGGCGGCTCTGAGCAGCGGCGGCGGCACGTTTAAGCATCAGCGGCGGCGGCTCTGAGCAGGGGCGGCAGGTTTGAGCATCAGCGGCGGCGGCGGCTCTGAGCAGCGGCGGCAGCAGGTTTGAGCATCGGCGGCGGCGGCGGCTCTGAGCTGCGACGGAGGTGGCGGATCTAAGCAGTGGTGGCGGCGGCTGGTTTGAGCAGCGGAGGCGGCGGTGGCGGTTCTGAGCAGCAGCGATGGCGGACTCCGGTAGCTTAGGGAAAGGCGAGTACCAACAGATGGCGGACTTCGGTAGGTGGCAGCGGCGGCTCTGAGCTCGATCTAGGGGCCGCTCCAATTTGGGGTCCTTCTTTCTTTCTCCTTTTTTGTCAAATCAAAAAATCAAAAACCCTCCCCTCTCTCACTCTTGAATCACCTATTTTTTTTATTTCAACCCCTTTTCTTTGGGTTTTTTTATGAGCAGGAGAATAAACATGAAAATTCATGGCCTTTTGCTCGGGTCCCACGGATGGCGCCAAAATGATGGTGTAAATTATCGACCGGTATATCATTTTAGCCCGGCAAAAACGATAAACTAGTCTAAAAAATACACCAAAATATAAACACGGGGATTTTGACGTGGAAACCCAAATCGGGAGAAACCACGAGCCTTTTTTGGCGGTACCTTGCCAACAGGGGATTTTTATTAATATCGCGGGTGTGTACACGGTACATGATTTAGGCTTAGAAGCCATTAATGGTGGAGCTAAAAGCTCTTGAAGAAGAAGAAAAAACACTCTAAAAACTTATATAGAAAGGGAGATAGAGATGTGCAGGAGATGAGTGAGTGAATGGCCTCCCTTCACATTGAGTGGGAGCCCTCCTTTTATAGGAGTAGCTGGAGCATCTACGGAGGAATATTCTATTATTCCTCCACTTTATTAAACAGACCCGGTTTGACTGTCCTTCGTAAATAATTGGGAAATGTGGGTCGAGCCACGTATTATTTCCCATCAAGATGAGGTATGTCTGTATGAAAAAGAATGACCAAAGTTAGAGATAAAATTTGAAAGTAGGGAGTAGCATAGTCATGTGTTTTGTTCAAGAAAATTTGAAAGGAAAGAAAATAAAATTATTGTCTCTTGATCACCAAAATTGAAAGAATCCAATTTTCCTTTATATTAATCTAATTCTCTCACTTTTTTTCTTTTTCTTCTCTAACCAAATATAAAAAATTGATATATGTCCCTTCTTTTCTTTTTTCTCTCGAACTCCTTAAACTAAATACAAAGTATAGAGCTTGTTTACTACGTCTGATCTGATTAAATCTGATCTAATTTTATTGTAGTCTTATCTGATTAAATTTGATCTAATTTTCTTGTACTATGATACGATTGTAGTTATATTTAAAGTTATATTTGATCAGATTGAATTTGATCAGCTCTGATTTCAATAAAAATAAGAGTAAATTCCATAATTGGTCCTTTATAACAGGGGGTTTCCCTATTTAGTCCTCTATTATCAAATATTATCCCAGTGGTCCTTCTTTTATGGGTATTTTTCAACAAATAGTCCGTTTTTTGATCTTCTATCATGTTGGTGTTAATTTTAGGGCTAAAAGTGTAATTTCACAATGATAATATATCTTTTTTGTCATACACAATTCCAAAAGCTATTCCGTTTCCATCGTTTGTGAATTACAGTCGCTTTCTTCTACAACCATAGTATACAAATGTGGTCTTCTGTCGGAATCTAGCCCACAATCATAGTCATTATTTTTGTGTTATCCGCTTAACCAATATCAGAACACGTCACTAGACATAATGTTAATGTCAAATTATACTTTTAGCTTTTAAATTAATACCAACATGGTAGAAGATCAAAAAAAGGACCATTTGTAGAAAGACACCCTTAAAAAAGGACTACGGGGTAATATTTGATAATAGAAGACTAAATATGGAAACCCTCCTGTTATAAAGGACCAATTATGAAATTTACTCTAAAAATAATTAATACTCCCTCTTTGAAAAAACGTTTCACCTCCTTTTTTGAGCATTCTACAACACACTTCTACCTATCAAAAATAAGTTAATACTGCAATAAAAGTACTTATTTTAGATATTTTAAGTGAGAGTAAAAATATTTTGTGAGATATGCAAAAATTGAAGATAAAACTATTGTTTGAAATCAGCGCTAGAAGTTAGTGTTAGGATTTTCAAAATGATATCAGACGGTAGTTTTTAGTGTTGACATTTCTAAAAATAACCGATATCATTAAATTTTTATCAAAAACGCTAATACTAATCGAAAATAAATTTTTAGGCTCAGTATATTATATGGTGAAGTATAATACTCCCTCCATCCCAGAGTATTCGTCCAGTTTTGACTTTTGGAACTGTTCATCTAAGCACTTTGACTTATCAAATTCTCGCAATGTGTAAGCCTAAATATAGTCATGTGTGATCTTGTTTGATTTGTCTTAACATATAGATTATTAATATATAATTTCTATAATTTTTTAATATAAAAATTACAAGATAAAATGGATTAAAGAAGTGTATTGGATGGTATGTAAAAATGAAAGTGGACAAATACTCTGGGACGGAGGTAGTAGTATATACAAAGAAAATGTAGAGTAGGGCCCACAAGAAATTCCCCAGGTTTTACCGAGGTTATCCCTGTGGACCATGCTACACACCCCCACCCTTGCTACTAACCTTGTCTCCACCCATTTCTCCACCACATATTTATCTCTACCCATTTTCCACCCACCCAGGGTGGGATTTTTAGCATTTTCCTATCCGTGTGCGCGGTGCAGAACAGGATTCGTCAAAGCTCAAGCCCACAGAAGATCCCTCCCTCCCTTCGCCCAGGACCACTGAGAGCCCGTTTTTAGATACACTCCACTTGGCATCCGGTTCAACTTACGTGGCATAATTACCCGCTCCCACATTGTCCACGTCATCACCACCAGATCTGGAATAAAATAATATCTCTGGCTGGTACGCATCCATTTCACTCTCCCCAACTTCGCCCCCCTCCTTTAAATCTCTCTCTCTCTCTCTTCGATCCCCTACCTCTTTTCCGAGCGACACTGGCTTTCTCCCCGTCTCCGGCGACGATTCCGGCGAAAAGGTACGAAGAACACTCACCGCCTTCTACGTGCTTTGCGGCCTGCGCCTCATTTTTTCGGAGCCTCTTCTGAATCGTCTCTGTGATAACCTAAGTACGATCATCGTAATATGTGTTTTTTTTTAATCTCAAAATTCTCTTCAACGTTCGATTATCTCCTGTGATTTGCCGTTCATGTTTGATTTTGTGTTTATTGAGCACCTGCTTCGAAGCCTTCACCTAGTGAGCGTGTTGTTTGTAGAAATTATGTCCGGTTCCGAATGATTTCAGACAGTCTTTTGTAATCGTGTTGGACGATTGACTTGTGTTGTCACTTTACCTAGTATTCATGTGTTTTTTTGGCTATGGATTGTTTTAAAGCAGTTTATATATGCCATTTACCTGTGAATAATTTGTGATTCATGAAACTTTGGACATTGGTACCCATAAAATCGTGCTTTCACTAGTGACTTGTTTCATATGAATAGGTGATCAATTGACAAGCCTTATGTTGTTTTTATTGTTGTAGGCTCTGTCCGGGAGCTGGTTAATAGAAAGGTAGTCTGGTCATCTTGTTTACAATGGTATGTCAACTTACATTTCGGGATTCTGAAGTTGTTTAATTTGGCATTCAAGGAAACAGAATGGTCAATTTTAGCATTTGTATAATTTAACAAGAATGAAACATTAGCACTATGTTTGGTTCAAGGAATTTGGAAGGAAAAGAAAAGAAAAATGATTTTCTCTCATTTTTTCTCGGAATCTGGATTTCCCTCCACTTAGTACATTTTGCCTTCTCATTTTCTTTTCCTTCCACTTTTCACTTTTCCTCTCTAACCAAAAAAGAAGAACTGTTTTCCACTTCATTTTCTTTTCTTTTGCCTTTCAAATTCCTTGAACCAAACATAGTGTAGAGGAATATCTCATATATATATATTTCTTTCTAAATTCAAGGCCTTTCATGCCAACTAAATCTGGAGCCTTATACATCAATCATCTTTTTGAATCTGATTGATGACGGGAGTTTGGGCGGATGGAAATGCTTCTTCTGTTAAAGGGTTGACAATACACAATCACCATGGCAAGAAAATTCAGCAGAATGGAGTAAAAGATGGAGTCAATGGTGGCAGACACATGGTTTGTGAGGAGCAGAAGTCAAAGTTTAACGAAGGTGCTGATGATAAGAATAGTGCACACAGAGGTTTAGTACATGTGCAGGCTGTTCTTCATACACAGCAGCAACAATCTCAGCCCTGCACTGTTCGTTGGGACCATTTTCTTCCTCTTAGATCCATCAAGGTTTTGCTTGTGGAGAATGATGAATGCACTCGTCATGTTGTCAGTGCACTGCTTCGAAACTGCAGCTATGAAGGTTGGTTCTTTTTAATTCTTTTTTGCTTTCTTGATTGTAATTTATAGCAAGATGTAGTGTAGAATTTTTTGCCAATTTTTCCTGGGAATCATATTCTGGATTTTTTGTTTTTGACACACTAAAAACATTTTCTTGGATCCCGATTACTTTTTTTTCGAAAAATGCTTCCTGTCACTGATGAAACAGTTGTGTGTTTTCTATTTTTTATGCTATACATCATACTATACCCAGAAAACGTTATTTTCATGAAAGTAGAGACAATATCCACGGAAAACATGTTCATACTCTGCCTGCCTCAATGTTATTTGAACTCTTGTTTATCTTTTTTCCTTTTAATGTTTTTTTCTGCAACACTACAAGCCGTGATACTTCACTGTTGGAGGATAATTCACAATCCCCAGCAGCTCATTGCGTCAGGCCTATCAGATAGTGCACCTTGCACCTTGGTCTGAGACAGTAATCCAGCTTACTTCCTGTTGGACATTGCATTCAATTGAATCAAGTACTTGGACATTATGAATCTGGGTAACCATGTTGATCAAATATCTGGACATGGGAAGGCTCTGTTATCTACTGATTAAATATGCAACACTCACGCAAGAGGTTTCCTCTGAAAGCGGTTTTGGAAAGTTTAGAATATTTGATGTTGTATTGGCTTGGCAGAGTAACTGTCAAGCCAAGCCCTCACAGAGGGAACCACATCGTTATGTATATATGCCCACACTTAGCATTTTATTTTTTTCTTTTGGAGGGATGACACAAAGCCTTACAGGCTCTTCTATACACACTCATTTCACATCTTTGTGTTTCTCATATATGGAACTTGGATATCTATCATCGCTAGTGCTCAGTGCATTTGGAGAACCTTTTAGTTCAAGACATACACATCCATATGCAGTAAAAAAGGTATGGATGCTAGAAGCAAATATAAATGATGTTGCTAAGCCTCCTCATCTGGTTGGAGAACAGCTTATCGATCCGTACACCTTTAGGATGCAATTTTCAGAAACATTCATCTACATGTCCACCCTCAATAGTTGGACATGTAACACTCTAAATGAGTGGAAGTAATTCAATCATAACACAATAACCTAAAGTCTGATTTGGAGTGCACCTGTTTTGTACCTCCATTCTTATTTATGTTATTTCTTCATCCTTGAACTTGTCTTTTAAAAAATGGATTGCGTACGAATTATGCTCGAGTGAAGTAGCATCACAAAAACAACAATTGTTGTTAACAGAAATATGTTGTTTCTTCTAATATTTGATTTTTTAGTAATCATCCTAGAAAAAGGCAATTACTAATAATGCTTTAGCTTTGGGTCAATAGTGGACGAAATCCAAATCTAAATGACACGTTAAATTTCCTATGGCTCTTTCTTTAAAGTCGGGGTAGTAGTAGTTAATGCTAGAGTGTATCACATGTTTAATGCAAATAATCCCTCTGAATTTTTCCAAGGGTAGGTTGGGCACATCTTGACCCCCAGACCCCTAAAGAGTTGATTATATAGGTTGTTGTTCTTTGTAGAAAATTGCTACAACAACAACATTATCCCAATGCCTCAAAGGTTTTGTTCTTATTGAATGCAAATGGAAAGATTTTCAGATTTTTATCTAGACTGCCAATTTTTGCTAAAGCATTCTAACATCATTTTTCTTCATTCTCAAGTCTCAAGTAACATCTTGAATTGGATTGTGCAGTTATGGCTGTAGCAAATGGAGTTGATGCATGGAAAGTTTTAGATGATTTAACCAATCACATAGATCTTATTTTAACCGAAGTAACTATGCCATATTTGTCAGGCATTGGCCTGTTATCAAAGGTTATGAACCACAAAACTCACAAAACTGTACCTGTGATCAGTAAGTATTCTTCTTATTTCATGGTTGTTTTTTTATGGACCAGAGCTAACTTTTACAATGCTTTTTAGCTGCAAAACTGATGAAAAAATGTAATTCATATGCAGTGATGTCATCAAATGATTCTATGGGAATAGTCTTCAAGTGTTTGTCAAAGGGTGCAGTGGACTTTTTAGTGAAGCCTATTAGGAAGAATGAGCTTAAAAATCTCTGGCAACATGTTTGGAGGAAATGTCACAGTGTAAGTTAGATTTTACCCTTTTATTCATATACTCTCTTTCGGTATCAAATTATATTAGCCGTTATGTTTTTTTTATTTTCTCATCCTTCATCTCAGTCAGGTGGTAGTGGGAGTGAAAGTGGGATACGCATAGAAAAGTCCACAAAAGCAAAAAATATTGAAGGTGTAGAAGATAGCAGTGATGGCAATGATGACAATGCAAGTGATAATGGAAGTGGCACCCAGGTACTTCTAAGATCTTTGCCTTTACTGGTCCTCTCACGCGTGCAGGTACTATGCAACCATGTATTTGATCCTTTTATGAAATACTCATTTCGTCAGTGTATTTGTCTATTTTTCGGTTTTGGATTGTCCCTGTGTTTTTATCCACTTTCCATTCATATTGCAGTTATATTCTATTTCCTTGCCTTATTTTTAAGGGGAATTGTTTTTCAATCAATGAAGTATTTGATGTTCTTTTCCATTATTTGGCCCTACAAAATTGTGCCATTATCTATCTTCTAAAAGTATTCATTCATGAGGCATATTGAATGAGCACATCATCAGAATATCATAATATTGTTTAAAAAATCCAATAAAATTAACCATGTCCCTTAGTATGCGTAACTTATTTCCTGAATTATGTGTATGACTACCGTTTATTTAGCTTTGACTTAGCATGCAACAAGTTAGTTTTACAACAACAAACCCGGTACGCCAATATAATGTTAAAGCTCAAATAAGAAGACAACATGAAACACCCAAATAATTGGAAAAATAACTGTTTGAGTTCCCACATCAAAAAATAAAGAAGAGCACCACTAGCATATATAGAATTATAGAAGGGCGAAGCCCTACCCATCAGTTTAAGCTTTTAGATTAGAAAGTGAGTCTTGGCTTTATATGCAAGTGGTTAATTTTACACAACACTCTGCCCGTTTTTCTCAGCCCATCGCAATTTGAACATGGTATTAGAGCAGGTTCGATTCGGATTCGACTGTTCCTGGTTGTTTGGACGTGGGTTTAGCGATATGATTTATCCGTCCGTGGTTTGGATTGAGTTGGCTATAAGAGATTGAGATGCTACTGCTCGTTGTGTGAGCTAGCTATAAGAGATTGAGATACTAGATCCTTTTGTTAGAGGGCTAACTACGTCAAGCTAGTTATCACTTGAGGGGGAGTGTTCGAGTTCCTACATTAGAAAATAAAGAACACTACTAGCATATATAAAAGGGTGAAGCCCTACCTATCAGCTTAAACTTTTAGGTTAGAAAGTGGATCCCAACTTTTTTACCCAACACTCTGTCCATTGTTCTTGGCCCATCGAAATTTTAACAATAGCTAATAAAAACAAACAAAAGTTAGCATTAAGGTCAAAATAAAGAATTGCTTCTTTTGTCCCGCAATAATGTTCCACTATTGACCGAGCACAAAGATTAACTACAACAACCTAGTTGGATTCCACAATAGTAGGGTCTGAGGAGGGTGTTAACACAAACCTTGCCTCTACTCAAAAGTAGAGAGGTTTTTCCCAAGAGTGGAAAGTGGTGGAGAGGAGAGAAATAAGAAAAGACGAAAAAAAGCTCAAAAGTGGAAAGTGAAATCTTTTTGTGGGACGGACAAGAAAAACGTGGAACTTTATTATGGGACACAAGGAGTACATTTTATAATATCTATGTTCGGATTTACTTGTCCATTTTTCATATTCAATTACAAATTACTCCGTATTATGTTTGGCTAAAATATCTTAGAGATCAGGTATATGCATTGTTAACATGAATGTGACACATCATAAGGATTTGCATGGAATTTCAAGCTCTTTGCTTAAAAATAAGATTTTTTTAAAGAAAGTTAACAACTAATTCCGGACGGAGGGAGTCTATTTATAATCCCAATAATTGGATCCATTGTTTGAAATGGCGTATAGAGGGTTTGAGGTGTTTTTTCCATGGCTTATTGTGTGAGCCTTGAGGTAAGCTAAACTTTATTAAAAACAAAGATAGAATATTATTAATAGCCTAATTAATCCATACACATTAAAGAAGTATACTGTTAAAGTAAAGGTACCAGACACAACAGAGTCTACCATGACATAGTACAAACCATTGGTTGTAGGAAACATAAGTTGTCAATGCTGGGTCCAACATTTAAGCAATCTAAAAGAACTAAATTAATTAATACCAAATTAGTAAGAATAAAATATTACTAAAAAAATATAATGAATAAAAACAAATAAAAGAAGGGGATGCTCAAAGGGAGGTCCAAGGTGATGAACGCGTTGAAGACCAGGGGGAGATTGGATGCGTTGATAGATTATGGTTCAGTAATTTACAACCCAGTTGGATCCCACGATAGTAGGGTAGGGTCTGGGGAGGGTGTGTGTACGCAAACCTTTCCCCTACTCGAGAGTGCAGAGGTTATTTCCAAGGCACCCCCGGCTCACGCAGCACCAATAATTTATCACGAAAGTAGAGACTAGGGGTTATTTCCAAGAGACCCCTAGTTCACGTGAAACCAATTATAAAAGATCATAGAGACACATAGAGTTAAGGTTTAGTAATTTATCATTTCAAATTCTCTAATTAAATCACTAATTTAGCTTTAATCTTTTTTGAAAAAAAAAGGTGTACGCCTCCTTCCGCCTCATTGTGTGGGCCTCATTGCGTGCACCTCATAGGGTACGCCTTCTTGCGCCAAAACTGAGAAACCCGTATGGCTTATGGCTAGATCACCACAAGGCATTTTTCTCCAAAAATAGACATGAGGCGGGCAATATGGCGAATTGCACAATGACATTTCAAACACAGATACTGATCAAATGTTTCTCGCATAACATAAATAAATAGCAGATCTATAATTCTAAAAGACTAATCACGTGAAAGAAGGATCTTCTGCTTGGAAATGCTTAACAAATATATCCTTCTTACAGATATGCTGTTCTAAAATTGATGCTACACTTGTTTCTCACAGGGTTCGTGGTCAAAACGAGCAATTGAAGTGGAAAGCCCTCAGGCCATGTTGCAATGGGATGAATTAGCTAAACCCATTGACAGCACTTGTGCTCAGGCCATTCATTCAAGACCAGAAGCACAAAGTTCAAATTGGGTTCCTACAAATTCTGGCAGAGAATACCAAGGTGTTAAAGATGAACATGGTAGAATAGTTCTTGCTAACTCAATTGCATAATTTGCTTCAGAAAAAAGGACTATAATAAATAAAATCCCACTTTGTTGTGTTTGTGTGTGGCTGTGTCCTAAATATTTACACCTTTTGTTTTCTGATCTGAATAAGTTTATTATTTGGTTTGCAAATCGAAGTAGGAAATGCCTCAATGGGCAAGGATTTGCAGATAGGAGTAGCAAGTACTCCAGACTTGCAGATTAATGCTGAAGAAGGGTCAAAAGATGAAGAGACATTGATTGGAAAGCTAGAGGATCTGAACACCGCTCAAAAGAGTGAGTTAAGAGGCGAGGATACTGCCAATGGTGTTCTGACCAAAGAAACAGGAACTTATAATAACACGACGACGAAAGAGATGCCCTCACTTGAACTCAGTTTGATGCAACACAGAGAATTTGGAGACAGTGGGACCACGGTGCAAGAACGCAATATACTGAGGCACTCGGGCCAATCAGCATTCTCAAGGCATGAGTTTTTTTATTTAACTAGTCTAAGAGAGAATTTGAACTGTCTTGTTTCAAGCAATAAGTGCTTTTTATTGCAAGAACTGTACTACTTAAAAAAGAGGAGTTCGGAAGGGAAACGGAAAATGTTCCTTTAACAGAAAGAAGCGCTTTTAAATGATTGTTTTAATGTTGAAAAAGCTCTTATACCTTAAGTTTTATCCTAAACAGGCTCTAAAACCATTTCCGTGCGCAGGTATGGTGGCGGTACTACTGCTACAACTTCTGCTAACAATCAGGCTCCAACTGGAAATGTGGGAAGCTGCTCTAATGTTGACAACACCAACAACAACAACACCAACAACAACGACTACAACAACAATAGTTCGGAAGTAGCAAAAACAGGATCAATGCATAATTCAAGTAGCATACCCAATCAGCAGTCGAATGGCAGTAGTAACAATATCCATGATGTGGGCTCATCAACCAATAAAATTCCAGTGAAGCCACCAGAAACTAAGATCCCGTTTGGTAGGCTTCATTCTCGGATTCTCTGTCATTTTTTTGGGGGTGAAATGGTTAAAATGACTGAATCGATGATCTTAATTCCCTTGCAGGAAAAGTTGAATCTGTGGCACAGGCGGCCTTGGTACAGTCGAGGGTGATGATGCAACAGCAGCAGGTTCAAGTTCAGCACCACCATCACCATTACCATCACCATCATCACCATATGCATAGCCAGCAGCAACAACAACATCAAAATGACTCTTTGCCGGTTAGAGGAAATGGTGAAGATGCTCCACACTATATGTTAGGGGGTGAAGGAAACTACACGAGTGCATCGGGAAGTAACAATGGAAGCAATGGGCAGGATGAAAGCAACGCTGCCGTGGTTGGCGAGGAAACAACTAACGACAACATGGATACTGAAGACGAGACGGAAGCAATATGGAAAGCTGGCGGTGGTGAGAGTGGAAGTGGGAGCAGGAGCGGGGTGGTGGACCAAAGTCCACAAGCGCTCAGGGAGGCAGCCTTGAACAAGTTCCGGCAGAAAAGGAAAGAGAGGAACTTCGGTAAAAAGGTAACTATTTATGTGACATTGTTTTAGATCTTTGCAAAAACAAAACACTTTTTTATATTAATCATTGTAATATACAGTGGTTTTCTATTTATTCCATCTCCATCTACCTCTGTTGGAAGGGGATAAATGTTGGGGGACATCAAGAATACTTCAAAATTCAATATTTTTTTTGGTTGGTTTTTGAAATTTCTTCAGACTCATTTGAAATGAAGATTTTACTTTTTTGTGCATATTCTGGGCATTCTTTTTGTAGAGATATGAGCATTTTATTTTTGTCACATTTCTCAATCTGATGATCCCCTGCCCTGGATGGTTTCAGGTTCGGTATCAAAGCAGGAAGAGATTGGCCGAGCAGAGGCCACGCGTCCGTGGACAATTTGTGAGCCTGTCTTCTTCCCCCGACAACAACAACAACAACGACAAAGGCAAAGCAAGTGATTCAAATAGCTGACCTCGGCCTGCCTGGTCGCTCGATGATGGTGCTTGCAATGTGTGTATTATGTGTACGTGGTGGCGGCGGCGGTGGTGGTAAGCAGCATTGGGATATGGAGTCTAGTTACTGGCAGTTAAAATATGTTTGGTTGTTGGACCCCATTATTCATTCCCACACGATTGATTTGTGTTTATGTCTCTAGTCTTTAAAATAATTATTTACTCGTAATTATTAGGACACACAAACACTTTGCTAGCGCTCATTTACTAATGAATAACCACTTAACAAGCCCTGTGTTACTTGTTTCATAATTATTGTACTCATTTTGGACACTTTGAAATATTAATTTTTTTTTAATTTTACTTTCTGGATTATTCAGTCATGCTTTTTTCATTATTAACTATTAACAATCTGAGTTTATGTATGTTTCTTCTTTAAAGGTAAATATATAATTAATGAGTCGTGCTTTCATGATCTTAAAATACACTCAATGTAAATCTTCTCACACTTTTAAGGAGCAGTCATGGGGATCTTTTATATTTTCAAAGAGCCTAATTCATCTAAGGTGTTTAGATACTAAGATTTTTAAAATAAGTATGGACTTTAGGGCCATAAAAGAATTTGCCATAATTAATTGGACTAGTATAACTACAAACACATTTTATTGATGTATTATGGAGTATTATTTAGAATAAATTTCATAAAGAATTCCTAATTATATGTGTCTTTATTTAGTTTACAATTATAAGATATTACATAAATGATCTTTAATTTTTGAAAATTATTCCATAACTGATCCTTCTCCTTTTGTGGCTATATGCGGAAAAATATTTACGCCAAGAGAACTATTAATGGAATAATTTTCAACAATTGAAGACTATTTATTAATATCTTAAAATAAAGACTAAATATAAAAAATCACCTATAATTAGAAATCATTTATGAAATTTATTCTATTATTAATGCAAATAAGTAAAGAACACACACACACTATTTTGAGGACATAGTTGATTGTGTAAATAGTACACCGTAAGAGATAATGAATTTTATTTAGGGAAAGGAAAACAACGGATTGGAGTATCTAAAATTCATCAATCACTTTAGTTTAGATAAAAACCGAGACCGTCACAATAACACTTTGACAAAAAGCCTTTTCATTTAACCTATTACAATTTTTTATTGGACATGAACAAATTTGAGAGAAACCGACGAACCTGTAAGGGCGTTGCTTCTTATCTTTACTTAATTCTTATACTCCCTCCGTCCCGTGAAACATTTCCCCTTTCTTTTTTTATCCGTCCCACAAAACACTTCTCATTTCTATTAAAAAGTCACTTTTACTCCTTACTTTTTCATACCCTAACTATCACATCATACCTTTTTACTAATAATCTATCCATCAAATCATACTTTTACCCATCACATCAAAGGACATTTTTAGAAATTCAATACCAAAATACACTCCCTTAAATCTCTCCTAAAAAGCAAATGTCCCATGTTTCACGGGACGGAGGGAGTATATAATTTCTGGTAGAGCTTGCTACAATTATGGATCAACCTATGTAATAATAATAATAATAATAAGATATAATACCATTAATAATCTCATTTAAAAGAAAATCTCATTCAAATAGTAATAATGACAAATGATAAATGGGCACTTACATGCATGGAAGCCTGCCTTTATTATTAGCATCCATTCGAGAGTATGCATTTTTATGCATGCACAGAACGAACCAAATTCAATCTGCAAAGAATTGATTATTATCAAGAATTATATCACATTATGAATTTACTTATCAATTATTGTTTAGAAGCTATTTATATATATATACCATTGAATGCACACAGTCACATGCAACTCGGAGAACGCGAAAAAATCGTGCATGTTTTTCCTTTTTAACATGTGGTTAATGTGCGTGCGAATATATATTTATTCCGTATTTATTTTATGTTTGAAGAATATATATACTCCCTCCGTCCCGGAAAACATGGGAGTTTTGATTTTGAAAGAGGATTTAAGGGGAATGTATTTTGGTATTGAATTTCCAAAAATGTCTTTTGATATGATGGGTAAAAGTATGATTTGATGGATAGATTATTAGTAAAAAGATATGATGTGATAGGTACAGTAGGGAAAAAGTAAGGGGTAAAAGTATTTTTTTTAATAGAAATGAGAAGTGTTTTTTAGAACGGATGAAAAAAGAAAGGAGAAAGGTTTTCTGGGACGGATGAAGTATATATAACTATGAATATGGCATAAATTGCTGAACTCCATTAATTGATTTTGAATCACAACCATTTCGGCTCATTCCTTGCATTTATGCCATGGGTTAATTTCAGCCTATTTAATCGCTACCTTTCACTGATGGGTAATTTACTTAAATAGGACTAAAACATAATGACTTTCTCAATATAGGACCATTAGTCATTATCTATTAGTCATTATTCAACTAAATGTCCAGCATCACTTGGACATTATTCTTATCACTAGTCATTATTAAATTCTGTTTAGAGAATAAAAAAGTTTAAGTCCTACATTGGAAAATAACTTATGTTTTAGTCCTATTGAGTGCAAATTTCACTTCAGATTCCTTCATACTTTGTCGCATATATATTTATATTAAATTTATTATATAATACTCCCTCTGTCTACAAAAATAATTTTTGTTTTGACTTTTAGTAGATTTATCTTTGTAAATTTACTTTTTAATTATATCCTTTATATTGAAGAAAAAAAGAAAAAAATTAGTTAAATAGTTTATGATATCAATGCAAATGGATGAAGTATATTGCAATGACTTTATTTGAATGTATAAGTTATTTTGTATTACTTTATAATTTTCTTATAAAGTAAATAGTTGTATTACTTTATGATTTCTTATCAAATTTATTTATAAATGTAATTAACCATTACAAAAACTACGTATTAAATTTAACAATGTATTTATTCAAATTAGAGATGATTATACAAAGTTAACACAAAAATTACATAAAATAAAATGTGTACATTTAATTAAAATTGCATAAGTGAACACCCTACATAACCTGTAAATTAAATTGTATAGAGTAAAAATAAAAGCACAACCAACATAATTGCTTTTTTTATGGTTTTGGTTTTCAAAACACTTTTTGGTTCTTAAAATTATCATTTTTTGTTTTATTACAAAAGTATATATAACTAATTTTTAATTTTTGAAAATAAGTTTTATTAATTACACGCGTCAGATTTTCATTTGATAAACTGAGGTGAGTGTCTTTGAATTGATCGAGTCTGGGCTTTCAAAGACCCCCCCTTTAATACCTTCCTCACTCATTGTCCCAATGCCCATATATGTACATAACATACATATATCTTCAAGGAAAATGCTTGGTTCACAAACTCAAGCTTCACAAACTTCACAAACTTACCATTTGTGAACTACAATAAAGAAAATTAAATAGTGTAAAATAATTTTAAAATGAGAATTTAAACCATAAATAGTAAGTTTGTGAAGTTTGTGATCCTTCTGTTTGTGAACGTAGCATTGCCCTATCTTCAATGCTTACAATTAATATAATGAATGAATCCTAGGATCCACTTTCAGATGACACTAATAAAATTGGCTGGGAACAGTTAAGAAGACTGCCATCCCCGGTATATACCAACTACCAAGGCCATGCATCCATGATGCATGGGACATTAGGCATGAAAGAAATGTATGAAATAACAATATAATAAACTAAATCAAATACATAACGAACCTTGATCCATATTGTATGTATGTGCATTATATTACTAGCTAGCTATTAGAAATTAGAAATCATCATCAAATAGTATATATAAACATTCCATGAAATTAAGTTTGCATGCATATATATACATACCTTCACATCAATAATATAATCCGGGTTACTCTTGGGGTGTTATGATGATTAAACGTAAGCTTCATTATGGAGTAAAAAGAAAAATGGATTCATTAACTATTTGAGGGATCGCATTTTACACATGCATAAATTATTTGAATCACGCATTTCCTCCACTATTTTACACGTGCTCTATTAAATAATGCACACATGCAGTAGAGGCACGCAGTTATTTTGACCATAATTAATACGGATTACCAAATAAACTTCTCCCCTTTTTTCGCGGCTAACCAATTAGTTACCCACTATTTATATATTCATATATAATCCGTATGTTCCTTCCATTCCAAAAACTATTTCTCCTTTTTGATTTTAATGAAATTTTAAAAAGACATATTTTTTATTTTGACTTTTCAACATTACTCTTGTTATGTGATGGATCTTAGAGCCTGATCTTTAGGACATGGAAAAAAAAATTGGATGTTGAAAAAATTGGAAGAAATTGGAAGGAACTGGAAAAAATAAAAAAATTAAAAGAAACTGAAAAAACTAGACAAAATTATAAAATCTAAAAAAAATTATTTTTTTTTGTATTTTTATATTATTCTCATTCTAATGTTTATATTATTATATTATTATTGTTGTTGTTGTTGTTGTTGTCATCATATTATCTTAATGAATGTCTTTAAGATAAAAAAATATTGTTATTTTTCATACACAAAAAAACTACTTTTGCACTATATGATGCCTCAAAAGAAACAGGAATACCAAATTCAAACCGATTATAACATATAACCGAAAGATATCCGAACCGAAAAATCCAACCCGACACTGATCCGGTTGATCCGATTGCCACCCCTACTCCCTCCGTTCCACAAAACCCTTCCTCTTTCGTTTTTTTTGCTTTCCACAAAACACTTCCACTTTCTATTAAAAAACCACTTTTACCCCTACTTTTTCATACCCTACCTAACACATCATACTTTTTCACTAATAACCAAACTATCACATCTTACTTTTTCCCATCACATCAGGGGCAAAATTGGAAAGTCAACCAAAATTACACTTTTCTTATTTTTGCCCAAAGTCAAAACCGGAAGGGTTTTGTGGAACAGAGGATTATTGTTGTTGTTGTTGTTATTGTTGTTGTTGTGGAGTCATAGTGTCTGCCATAACCTCATCTCGTACAAAGTGACAGTCTGTGCCCACATGCTTCATGCGATCATGAAGAACCGGATTTTTGGTGACATAGATAGTCGACTCATTGTCACAGTATAACTTCGGTTTGGACGGAGGAATACCCAATGCATCAGTGATAGATCGAAGCCACATAGCTTCTGCAACCCTTGCAGCCATAGCTCGATATTCAGCTTCAGTGGATGATCTAGAAACACGAGTCTGCTTTTTCGTGCACCAAGAGATGATATTAGGACCGAGTAGGAGTATGTAGCCCGTGGTAGACTTGCGATCATCTTTATCATTGGCCCAGTCAGAGTTAGAGTAGACAGATAGGTCGAATCCCCCCTTGCGAAAAAGAAGACAATGATTCAAAGTGCCTTTGAGATAGCGTAGAACGCGTTGCAAGGCATGATAGTCCTGCTCAGTGGGGTTGTGCATAGTCTGAGACACTCGATTAACAACATACTGAATGTCTGGACGAGTGACAGCCAAGTAATGTAAACCGCCAACAATGCTCCGAAAATGAGAAATATCCTAGAAAGGCAGCGAAGGCTTAGTGATAGGTCTCGTAGCCATAGGAGTAATAGCCGGATGACAGTCGGACATCCCAGCTCGGCGTAGAAGATCACGGGCATATTTGGATTGATGGAGAAGTATAGAATCTTGCGTGCGCTGAACCTCAATGCCAAGGAAGTAATGAAGAGGTCCAAGTTCTTTGAGCTTGAAGTCACGGTGCATGGCCTGAGTAACTTCTGAGATGAGAGTAGAAGAGCTGCCAGTGAGAACAATATCATCAACATAGACAAGGACAACAATAGTCCCACGAGAGCAGTGTCTGGTGAACAAGCTGGTATCATGAATGCAGCACTTGAATCCAAGGCCCTGCAAAAAAGAGGAGAGGCGTGTGTACCATGCACGGGGTGCCTGTTTGAGACCATATAGTGATTTGCGGAGCTTGCAAACATAGTGAGGATGAGTGGGATTTATGTACCCCGGGGGCTGCTCCATATAAATTTCCTTGTCCACTGTACCGTGAAGAAAGGCATTGCTAACATCTAGTTGATGAAGAGGCCAATCACGGTTGAGTGCTAAAGAGAGGACCAGGCGCACTGTTTGTTGCTTGACCACAGGACTGAATGTCTCCTTGTAATCAATGTCATACTCCTGATGATAACCTTTTGCGACAAGACGAGCCTTATACCTTGAAACAGATCCATCAGCATTC